AGAACGTCCAGGTGGTTGCTGAACGGGCCGAAGAAATCCGTCAGCTCCTCCAACTTCGGATTCAAGACCAGCAGCGTGTTAACGCTGGCCGCTACAAACTTCGTCGTCGAGACGTTCACTTCCAGTACGGAGACATGGTGTGAATGTGGACACCCATTAGTCACCGCGGCCTTAGGGAGAAACTGTTGAAACGGTAATTCGGACCGTACGAGGTGCTCGGTCGCCTCGAAGAGCTCAACTACGGAGTGGTAACCGAAGGAAAACAAACATCATCGTGACGCTGACCACGACCCGGGGTCGTTAATATCGTTCGACTCAAGCCGTTCTAAGCTTCGTATAGGGGTGTGGACTTTTCGTATTCCATAAGACTTTTTTAGCGTAACATTGTTTTTTGTGTTGTGTTGTATTGGGGCGATGCGCTTTTGAACTGGTGAGTAATGCGGCGTGCATGATGGAGAAGATAGCTTCTCCGTTCATCTAGAAGATTTGAGTGTACTCTAAAGGCTTTGTCATACTCCTGCGTAACGCGTGCGCGCGTGCGAGAGCGTCACAGCGACGCCACGTCGACGAAACCCCGACGCTCTATAGACCGTTCCATAAGGGTCATAGCAGAGAGGGTAAAAGAGAAAAAAATGCACTCCCCCTCTCACCCCGCATGACGTCCGCTCCGCCGAGTTGGCTGTAGGTAGCGTCCGGCTGGCGTGCAAACTCTGTTTAAAATCACGTCATTTTGGAACTTTCAAGCGCAGATGCGCAGATTTTGGTATGCCAGTTGTCGTGTAATATTATGCTAGATAAAAAGACTCACGGGGTCCAATTGCGCTGTTACCTGCGTGCAAATAAAAAAAAATAAAAAATATTGGGAAAACTGTGTCAGATTGGCCGGTCTCTTTGGCGAAAAGTAAATCCGGTTGCTGTACCGTTTTTACTATACACAAGTTCGTACTGGTGTAGGCCTTTAGCGACCGTGAGTGGAAGTCTGAAATAATAAATAAAACGTGCTCTCCTGCCGCAATACAAGCAGTAGTTGAGGGTAGTACTGCCGGCTCACTCAACTGCTATTTAAGTAACGGGAAAAAGATATGCTAGTTGATCATTTAGCAAAATAGAACAACAGAGAGCTATAGGCTGATTTTGGATTAGCCACAACTAGTCTAAAAACGCGAACCACTTCACAACGGTAGCCACGAGCGAGAGTTCGATGTTCCGTACAGCCCGCCGATACAGCCCAAAGATGGAGAACGGCAACCTCCCGGTTTGTCGTCTGCTAGCGGAGTCGCGCGCGTGCCCTCTCTCTCGTTTTACCCCGCCGAACCCGCTGAACTTCCCGGATGTGTGGAGAGGGCGCTGCGGTCGCACAAAATGGTGCCGCCCAGAGAGCGCTAAATGGAATGGTCTATACTCCGACGTCTTGGCGTAACCGACGCGACCGGCGGCGTTCGACGCAGCCTAAAGCGCGAGACACATGCGCGAAAAAGCCATGCGATCCGACGTGCGAACCGCCGGAACGACGTCCGAGGGCGAGGGTTTTCGTCGCACCGGAGCGTCGGACGGGGGCTCCGTCCGGCGCCCGCATGCGTCCAACTTGCCAGATATCGCCGCACGCACGGTCCGATTTTCGGAAGGCCGCAGTGGCCGCAGCCAATGAGCACGGATGGCGAAGGTCATGTTGTCAAGTGACTTTCGGACCGATCGGGCGAGGAGGCGCAATGTGGTTCGGGGAAACGGACGTGGCGGTGCGCGGTGCGTCACGCGCGGCGAGTCGTGGTTGTGAAGGAAACGGACGCCATCGAGTTTTCCCGCGCGCACAAAACGAGCTGCTGATTTCGAGCGCCAAAGCAAGCCTGCCTTCTGGGACCGATCGAGCCCGTCGAAACCCGAATATACTCCGTTTCACCTTCGATGGACAGCAGCGGACGCTACGAGCCATTCCAATGTCATGTGAGCTTCGGGAGAGACGCAGTTATGTGCGCGGTACGTGGTCACGTGATTTTTACGCAGTGCTCGTTTCTCTGGGATGGCTCTAAGGTCCGCTGTGGTCCTTCGCGATTAAGTGATTTTGAGCAGAAAAACAGCCTCACGGAAAATCTTCACACACGCACACTTTAATAGAAGGTAATAAAAATATTATGTTTGTTTCAAAGCCAGAAAAACCAAGGGCGAGGGAAGTATTTTAGTGTTCTAAACTAGGTGGCACGAGCTACCGCCCGTTATAAATATAGCCATTAGCATCCATCCATCCATTTAGTAGAGGGACACCCGAAACTTGGCGGAGCTGAACGGAGCGACGCTACGACGCGTCGGAAACCATGTGTCGCGAACCGTCCTGTGCGACGATTCGGAGCAGCCATCTTCCCGACAGTTCGCACGCCGGATCGGACAGTTTTGACGCGCATGTGTCTCGCGCATTCGGAGCAGCCATCTTCCCGACAGTTCGCACGCCGGATCGGACAGTTTAAAGCGCGAGACACATGCGCGTCAAAACTGTCCGATCCGGCGTGCGAACTGTCGGGAAGATGGCTGCTCCGAATCGTCGCACAGGACGGTTCGCGACACATGGTTTCCGACGCGTCGTAGCGTCGCTCCGTTCAGCTCCGCCCAGTTTCGGGTGTCCCTCTGGTCCCTCTACCAAATGGATGCATGGGTGCTAATGGCTATATTTCTAACGGGGGGTAGCTCGCGCCACCTAGCCTAGAAAACTAAAATACTTCCCTCGCCCTTCTTGGTTTTTCTGACTTTAAAACAACCATAATATTTTTATTACATTCTATTAAAGTGTACGTGTGTGAAGATTTTCCGTGAGGCTATTTTTCTGCTCAACATCACTTAATCGCGAAGGACCGCAGCGGACCTTAGAGCCATCCCAGCGAAACGAGCACTGCGTACAAATCACGTGACCACATACCGCGCGCATTACTGCGTCTCTCCCGAAGCTCACATGAAACTCACATGACATTGGAATGGCTCGCAGCGTTCGCTGCTGTCCATCCTAAAGTGAGAGCGAGTATATTCGGGTTTCGACGGTCTCGATCGGTCCCTGAAGACCGGCTTGCTTTGGCGCGCAAAATCAGCAGCTCGTCTTGTGCGCGTGGGAAAACTCGATGGCGTCCGTTTCCTTCACAACCACGACTCGCGTCGCGTGGCGCACCGCGCACCGCCACATCCGCTTCCCCGGACCCCGAACCACGTAGCTCCTCCTCGCCCGATCGGTCCGAAAGTCACGTGACAACATGACCTTCGCGCCATCCGTGCTCATTGGCTGCAGCTCTCCGAAAATCGGACCGTGCGTGCGGCGATATCTGGCAAGTTGGTCGCATGCCTGCGCCGGACGGAGGCCCCGTCCGACGCTCCGGTGCGACGAAAACCCTCGCCCTCGGACGTCGTTCCGGCGGTTCGCACGTCGGATCGAATGGATTTTTCGCGCATGTGTCTCGCGCTTAACCGCCTCGGCGCCAAAATGGAGCATGCCGTATTCCGCGCCGGCCGCGCCAGCGACGCCGGACCAGGATGCATCACGCGCTGGCTCCCAGTAGCCCTCGCGGCGAATACGAGCAATAGCAGACGACGGGAGCACCACTCCGTGTTGCGTCACGTTTGCAGAATCGGACTCGGTCGGTCGAGAGGCTGATTGTGGGAATTCGTCCTCACCCGTGTGTCTACGACACGAGGAAGCTTGAGTGCCGTAGACCGTGCGCTTTAGAAAGATGTACCGTGTGTACATGGACCGCCTACTCTTGCGGCGCAGGCGCTGCACCAACAGTGCAAGCGCGAGTTTTCGTCGTTTAATCGGCTATATATAGTAACGTGTGTATTAAGGCTATGAACATGCGACCATTAATTGTCTTTAGCCCGCTTAACGGTGCGTATGTCGCCACTGTTATAGATTCGTGATCACAAACCTTAGCCGCCTATAGACCTATTGCACTTCTGCCCAAAGCCCTAGCGCGCACCAGGGAAAGTGTTGGTTCAACGTTCTGTCTATTTTTCCCTCTCTTCGGATCGCATTACCTCCGCGTTGACGTCTCCTTAATCTTTCCTTGTTTAGCTTTAATTATCTCATTTTATCTACTTCAGTGTATTCGTATTGTTTTAAGTATGTGTATTTCGTTCTGCGTGCTGTATTTCTCATATTTAACTTCTTTTTTTTTAATATTTCGTCGTTCTCGACGCGGGTGTCAACGGACATCACGCCGTTACTTACACCGCTGATGAGGCGAGTTCTACCTTTGTCACGACACTCTATCGCGTTATGAACTCGTCTATTTGACCCGCATTTAGTCTTGAAAGAGCTGTTTCGAAAGTCAGTGCCCATGTGGTCAGAATTTAGGCAGAGCACCGACGTAGCAATCGCGACGCAACAGCCGAGTGCACCAGTTCCTGACGGCGAGGTGCGTCTTAAGTATAAAATTCCGTGCGTACCGAAATTAAAAAAGCAAAGGAACACTACCCGGCTGCGTCTTGCACGGCTAGTAATACAATACTCCGCGAGAAACATCCTCGTCTAAAGATCCGTAGAAGAGAGCTCGATCGCTTCGAAGGGGAGCTGACCCAAATACAATTTGTACGCCGTACCCTTCGGCACAGTAGAAATCACTAACAAAGCGTTGACTAAAAGCACACACCCAAAAAGAATAAACCTCCAATTTTAAGATACTGCCACATCCGTTCGAAGTAAATCGTAACGCTCTGTTCTTATAATTGTCTAACCTGTTGATATTATACTTATTGTGCGGGTCCCAAACAACGTCGGCAAGCTCGTGTAGATGTCTCAAAGTACCTTATATTCAATTAGTGTCGCATGATCCGAGCAGTCTTTTAAGTCGTCTTTTTATGATAGACAATTTCTCCATTTCTTTGTTCACAATACAGTCTACGGAATGGTTCCAACGTAAATCAGATGTTATTATTAGTCCCAGTTGGTTCTACTCAAATACTGCGTGAAGTGTGATCTCTTGAAGTTCTTTCCGCAGCCCCTACCATCTATAGTAAGAGAAACGTACCTGGTGTCCGCAGAATATCTTCAGAAGTGGAGCTGACTCGTCACTTCCATCGAAGACCTTGACAAAGTCGTACCCGCAGGAATGGTGGGTTTCAATTTCGAAAGCAGAAAACCTTAAGCGGACGAGTCCAACTGGCGCTCTTATGACCCAATCGCGGTCAATGTTGTTTTCATAATGCTGGTTCCCGTACTCGGCATGGGAGTAGATTCTTTGCTCACTGCTTCGTCTTGCCACCAGATCCTTCTTGTTCAGTTCTGTGTAGGTTGCAGAGAAGCCTTTGCCTTGCACCTCGCTATCACTCGCGAAGACCTGCGTTGAGAGGCCGTAGTTGGAACCACCATCACACGGTGGAAGTAATAATAATAGTAATAATTATGTCAAATATTATTGAATGTTTAATGTGCAGTGCGTGAGCAAATGTGCCCACGCACTGTAGGGCCGGCAGATGTGAGCCAGGTGTCGGTTACACTAAGGTTCAAGGTAGAAGTAAGAATCAAAGAGCACGCGAACTGCAAGAGGCGTACTTTATCAGGAAGAGGGGGCCCAACGCGTCAGCGACATGTCAATTGCATTGTATAATGGCCACATATGTTTTTTTTTTTTATATAAATTTGTAAAAACGGGTTGAAGGGCGTATATCCCGGTGCATACGCTTTCGACGAGTGCAGTGAAGGAAAAGGCTGCTAGCTTCAGGACTACCCAATAATCATTCCAAACAGAGCTCGGCGTTGCGACATCCCCGCACGCTCTCCTCTCCTCCTCTCCCTCAGTTTCTCGTAAATGCGCATAAATCTGCGCATTTACGGTTTTGTCAATCCCGTAACTTTTGAACCTACCTCGCGTATGTCGAGAATTGTCGAATTTAATTACTCCACAGACATTCATATGCGGTCCGAAAAATAAATGAGGTAACGGAGAATGTGGCTCACCATGTACATTTGATCGGAGGAGGAGAAGATAGGCGCGGGCGTTGTACTTCCGCAATAGATTCCAAGAATTGGAGCGTTCGTGTCGTTGCCGTCGTAGACAGAGACATAGTCGCTGATACATTTGTTGTCCTTCTCCAGTTCAAAGTCGTTGAATACCTGCGGTAGAACGATCCTGAGTCAGTCTACAAGGTCTAGTATATTTCTCAATTTACGGAACTCCGTATGATCATATAGCTTAAGGATTTACGCCCCCATAAGCTGAGGGAGAGGAGGCGACGAGGGCGCCAGGGGACATCACATTGCCGAGCTGTAATTTGAATGATTAATGGGTAGACGTAAAGCTGGCTGCCTCTGTCAACACAGCACTCGTCGAACGCGTTCGAAAGCGAAAGCCAAACACTGTGCGCCCGAGTTTCTCGTTTTAACGTGTTCGACGACTGCAGTGGAGACAAACGCAGCTAGCTTTAAGGGCCGTTCACACACTTGCAACCAAGTACCACTGAGTGAGACAAGACCGGTTTTGAAGCCTCCTGAGACGGCGTAGAATCAAATCCGCTGATGCGGAGCAGGTCCTAAGAGGTCGCAAGAGGCGCAAGAACCATTCTCGTCACAGCCGGTCAAACTCGGTTGCAAATGTGTGAATGAGCCTTTAGGTCTACCCACTAATCATTCGAAAAAGATCTCGACGACGAGAGCTTCCGGGGGCGTCACGCCCCCGGAAGCTCTCGTCCTCTCTTATCCCTCCGCTTATCTGCGCGTAGCGATGCACAGATTTTGTGCCCAGAATGGTCCTTCACGAGCAAGCCAAACTTTGTGGGGATTCCTCTGGTCTCCTTTCCCCGATTGCTGTGATAACGGCCGCGGGTCGGAACACTCGGCCTCCTTCGCCGTGAGCTCCGACCTTTTCGTGAGGCGGAGGGCCGCCTGGCTTGGGGGGCTCTCCTCTCACTCTCTCCCGGGGGGACCTCTTTCCGTCCCCCCGCTCGGATGCGAATCACTGCCGACAGGCGAGGAGGTTTCGCCTCTTGTTTTCCCGCATTGGGGAAAGGGACTCGTTCGGTTGACCGCGAAAGAGATAGGACGTGTGTTGGCGACTTCTCCGATGCTTCCCCGGTCTTGGCTCTCCGGAACCCCGCGTCTGGCCAGGTAAAGACCTTTTCTTACCATGCCGGCGCGGGGGGCATTTTGGATGGGGACATAGTGGTTCATTTTAAGTGTGTTATAATAAATGCTTTTGGGCTGTCCTTACTCTGGTACGTGTCTTCTCTTCTGCTATATTCGAGAGAGTGAGATGAGGTAGTCGATCATTGGCACCGAAGGAGGTAATTAAAGGGGTTATGACACGCCAAAAATGAAATATGAGATAACTATACTGCTGGGACCCATTGTATATTCCTATATTCCTGCTAAATTTGTAATGAAAATGGCGCGATAGTTTCGTTGATAAATCGATTTATATGCGAGTCCCTCGGAGGGGCGGATTCGAGCGGAGCTAGAGGCTTGCCACGTAGGCAGCCTCCAGATCGGTGTCTCCTTGCACGCACTCACAGACTTGGCTCTCTTGGCGTCTCGAGCCTCAGCTTCCTCGTTTACCTTCCACGTTTCGAGCATGCCGTCCGTGGCGATTACGTCTACGGCATCGCTCGCCTTGTCAAAGTGTTCGACATTGATCGCAGCAGCGATGAGATTTATTGCTATCAAGAGCTGTTGGAAGCTGTGCATTTTGACTGCGAACCGCTGGCGACCAGCTCCAGTGACGACGAGTTACGGACGGACTCGCCGTGGTCACCGTTGTCCGGGAATATTTCGCAGGCGCGTGCAGGGTGGAAGGTCAACGGGCCGGGGGCGAGAGCGAGAATAACGTTCGGGTTGCCGAGTTGCGTTGGCGGTTTTGATCGTAACGCGGCGAGGAGAGCTTGGGCGATCATGGGGGCGCCTAGAATGAGAGAGCGTTCATGGTCACGTGGTTTATGGACACCATGGTGTGACTAACTTGGGCAGTGTTGCCTGGTTGCCAGATGAAAATGATAAAAATTCGTAAATTGAATAATTACCAGAACTCTAAAAATCGCGAAACTTAGTGTATATACTAAGTAGCCTATGCACATTCCATTTCCAGAACAATCTATCTGTTTAATTTTCGTGTCATAACCCCTTTAATCGAACCGACCCGCGGTAATGTAGCCCTAAACGGCTCCTTTGAGATCGCCGCCGCTGTTGAGACAACCCTTTGGTAACTCTATCGGTACCTGTGTTAGGTGGTAGCTAGCAAGATCCCACAACTTCAAACTGAATGAATGTGACTCTACCTTTCACGACAGTTAATGATATTTCAAAAGAAGATTGTTTGCCCGAGACCAGCTTCCTTGTTAGGGCAAAACGTTTAATTTAAATGATTTCCGAGATTACCTTGGGCATTTGTCCGTAATAATTTATTATCAGCTAGACGTTCGGGACAGCCGCAGGTCGTTTAATTTTTATTCGGTAGGTTATGCATAGCGTTTCGTGTTTTTCGGTTTAGGTTTCTTTCGGTATTATTCCATCAGGGTTTAATATTTCCCCACATATTCAAAGTATTTCGGTATAGTATTTTGGTGTCGGACAAAACATTTAAATATATCAAGGTTTATTAAAAAAAAAAGAAAAAAAAAAGTCGTTCATGAAATTTCTCGACTTTCTAGGGGGACATAGAAGTGAGCCGAATAATTGGAGAAGCTCCCTGTAGCGACAACAAAACGAAACAAGATAATATTTATTTATTTTTCTTCATTTAGTGTGAATACTAAATGAAGCTTTAAACAAAGATGTTCTTTTTTGTGAAGCTTGGATTTTTTTTTTCTTATTCGGGAAAAGCTCCAATGCGGTGTTCATAGGTTTTCTAAGATTTTGATCAAACGGAATCTGAAGCTCATTCTTGAGGATTTTTGGAATTTAAAGAGAACGCGGAACGCGTCCTAGTTCTAACAAAAACGAAGTAGTTGGATTTGATTTAAATCGTGAATAAACATGCTATGCCAATGTCACGTTTCACGGCCAAAAAAAAAAAAAAAAAGAGAAGCGCGAGTTTTGAAGAACGGCAGGCGGTCATTCTGCAGAAGATTGAACCTCGGAGTCGTTCTGGGGCGAGTGCGCCAGCGGCTGGCCTCGCTCCAGCACCGCTGAGACACTCCATCCTGCCGCCCTGATCGCCACCGAAGGCATCGCCGTATTGAATGCTAAGTCCTAAAGTTAAAGGAAAAAGAAGCAGACAAGAGGCGGGAGGTGAAAAGATCATTAGAAGTAACGGAGTCCAGATCTTGTTAACGACCCAAGAGGGGCGCAGCTTCGGGATGGTGCACCGAAGCCACTGAAAGGAACCGGGCGACGACCCGGCGAAGGCTCGGCGACCACCGAACAAATGGAAAGGAGGGCAATGACACGGCGCTGGTGTGGGTGGGACTCTAAGCAGCGACCAGAGCAACCTCATGGATCCCGACGAACTTACGAGTGACAGATTCGGTGTTGACCCAAACCAGTGACTGCGATTCTCGGCTGCGACACGAAAAGAGACCACCACCGAGTATTTCAAGGCCCAGACTGACCTGATTGACGTATACCATCAGCAGCACCGACCGAGCAATCTGATCGCCGCGTAGGCGGGATAGAACCAAATAGGGACGAGGATGGGATGATGATGATGAGGGTGGTATACTTTTTCCTCCTACGGTTCCTGCAGTTCCTGCACCTGTACATATTTATGGAACCAGTTCAGCGCCTCCAGCGCAAGCGGGACCTTCCCTGCCGGATGGTTCTACTGACCTCGCAGCGTCTGATCTCTTGGTGAGACGCGGTTCCCCTGCGTGCACCTCGCCATGCTTCGCTGGATTTCCCCAAGGAGCCATAGTTTTCTGCTGCTCTCGATTATCCTGCTACAGCTTGGCGAGGTTCCAGATTCCTCGGTGGACTTGGGAAACTCCGAGAAGTAAGGCCACCCTGTGCAATGTTACGGAGTGCGTGGGTGCCGGTGAACTACAAAGCATATGGACATGGTGCAGATACTAAATGGACGGAGGTGCCAATGACTTACTGTGAACCCGCAACCTCGTAGCCGACAGTATTCACAGGAAGATTAGCCCACGACCCTTATTTCGAAATTGGCCCCATGGCCAGGCCAAAGAAGCTAAGTACCCGGAGTGAACCCTGGCTGTGTTCTTCGGAAGCAAAGGAAAGGCAAAGGAAGGCGAATATGAGGGAGTATTGATAACTGCTGTACTTTTTTATATTAGCTTTCTGTCTTCACTTTGTGTATTTTAGCATGATTGGCTCCATCATCCTGCACTTTTTTTTTATTCTCCAACGGTTGGTCATTGAACCGTGACAGCCAGTATGTATCCCATGTCTACCGCCTTGACGAGGAGGACGTAGTATGTCTTTGCGGTCTAATTGAATTTGGATGTACTGCCTAGCGCGTGGCGAGGATGGACATCTCAGGCCAACATTTCAATACTGTGGTACAAGATTTGATCCTTACATTCCTGGAGCGGCGGGCGTGTCTATTTATATATATTGGACTGTGCACACAAACAGAAGATGTTAAACAATGTTCTATGAAAACTTGAGCGAGACGTCAGCTCCACACGTAGACCAGGCAAATTTGAGTATTGTGGAGTTTAAGTAACAGGCGGGGAATGAACTCAAAATTAAGAAAACGTGCTATGGAAGCACCATTAGTCAAGTGCGTAATCTGGCGCTCCGCGGAACACGAAAAATGTTACATAAACCTTCACTTATTGCCGTAAACGCAGCTATCCCATTTTTGAGTGGTGACATTGCCGCCTGCGTAGCCGAGTCGGCGTTGCTAAGTCAGCTGCGTTCTTGGCATCCACGCAGGTGGCCGGTTCGGTCCCTGCGATGACCTGTTTTTTCATCTTCCCCTATTTAATAGAAGATAAAATGGTGTTTAAGAAACGTGCATTTTGTTCATGCACAGAATGTATATTTTCAGAACACTCGAGGTCCAATATTCTAGGCTTTAGGGGAAGCCTTGAGAGAAGGTCTGCCGTGCCGTGCAGTCAGTCTCGCTCCAGCACTCGATACCGGTACTATGTTGCCATCAACCCCTGCGACGCTGTCTCTTTTTTTTTTTCTTGTTCCGGCACAAGTTTTCCACATCAAAA